TGTGTGTGTGTGTGTATATATATATATAAAACATATCTCAGCAACACCATTAAAAAAAAGAGAGAATGGGCCAGAACTAAAAATGCCAGCAAATGCATTCTACAAAATCTACATTTCAAATGAAATTATTTGTTTAAAAAACAATAGATGAGAGAAGATATGATCAGAAATGGCTATGCCAAGGTACTATCCCTAAGCCATTTCCTACAGGGAACTGCTGTGCTGGGGTCTCATTCTACTTGGAAATGTCCTAGTGGCCCGAAGAGGAACTTGTAATGAGAAAGATTATGCTTTGGGAAGATCACAACCCCAAACAGAAAAGTCAGAATGAGCTGCTTTTTTAGGTAAATACAACCCTGACTTCAAATCTAAAGATAAGGAGAACATTCTCAAGTAAAAGGAAACTGACCATAAAATTGCAAACGGCTTTCCCCTGTCTGTGCAACTTCAACACCAACACGAAACCAGCACGTCGCTTCCTGTCCATGGGGTTGGCTAAAGGGCCAAAGAGATTCTGTCTGCTTTGGCTCTGGCCTCCTAGTAACTAAGAGGGACACTAGTTAACCCCATGTCCGGCTAAGCCCCTGCAGACTTAGTTAGTGGAAGTTACTAGCACCACTTGATAGGTGAGAACACTTTGGCTGAAAGGCTTAAGGCAGATGAATTGCCTGCAAGGCAAAAAAAAGGAGGCACCTTAAAGAAATGTGCTCTCTCTCTAGTTTCTCACTAAGCAAAATTATCCTTTCATGGTGCCCACCCCATAAGGGCGCCACTGAAGCAGGCCTTTCTCTGTTTCACTGAGATATTTTCTTGGCAGTAACAGAGTGCAAAACAGGGAGCTCTCTAAAGATGATTTTCAGGTAAGGAAAACTGGATTTATGCTTCCTCCACACTGAATTCATGGGTCAACAATATAAGCTCAAAGTTTATATTTTAAAATTCATGGTGCATATTTGGCTTTCATCAGAAATCAGTATCCTTTTTTTTTTTTTTTTGAGACAGAGGTTCATTTTGTCACTCCTGTACAGTGCTCTAGTGTCATAGCTCACAGCAACCTCAGACTCTTGAGCTCAAGCAATTCTCTTGCCTCAGCCTCCCTAGTAGCTGGGACTACAGGCATCTGACTCAACTCCTGGCTATTTTTAGAGACGGGTCTTGATCTAACTCAGGCTGGTCTCAAACTCCTGAACTCAGGCAATCCGCCCCTCCGCCTCCCAAGAATGCTAGCATTATAGGCAAGAACCACTGAGCCCGGCCTCAGTATCCTCTGTGTGTGTGTGTGTGTGTGTGTGTGTGTGTGTAGGGAACAAATGATGCACTTCCAATTGTCTTTCTTAAGCTGCAGCAAGAATTGTAGCCTCTTCCTGAGGCTTTGAAGTTGTAGAGCTTAGAATTCCCAGGGGCCTGGTGTTAAAAATTAATATTTACATTTAAGGCTCGGCGCCTATAGCTCAACCGGCTAAGGCGCCAGCCACGTACACCTAAGGTGGCGGGTTCGAATCCCCAGCCCGGACCCGCCAAAACAACAATGACGGCTGCAACCAAAAAATAGCCGGGCGTTGTGGCGGGCGCCTGTGGTCCCAGCTACTTGGGAGGCGGAGGCAAGAGACTCGCTTGAGCCCAGGAGTTGGAGGTTGCTGTGAGCTGTAATGCCACGGCACTCTACCCAGGGGGAAAGCTTGAGGCTCTGTCTAAAAAAAAAAAAAAATATTTACATTTAAGTGCAACCCTTCCTCCTAAACATTTTACTTTTGAATGAAGTCCCTGGGTAGGGACCTCCTTGGAAAGGTTGCAGCTGTTTTATTTAAGGGTCTACCTCAAGCTCAGGAGTATGTGAGACCCTCCCTCTCCCCTTGGCGCTGAGCCCACTGGCCCAGCTACTTCTCTCTCATTCTGTCTCTAGGTCCTGGAGTCCCTGGGTCAGGGGGTAGGGTGGGGGGGGTGCTTAGTGACTTAGGAATACACAATTTCAAAGGAGAGCAGGAGCTGGGCCTAACAGCCACAGTGGTCACAGGTGTTCACAGATGAGCAGAGGGACCTGAGAGCCAGCGAGGGGATGAATGAGACAGTATCCAGAGCTCACAGCTCTCAAGCCACCAAGGCCAAACTGAGCCAATAGAGCCACCGTGTGCTCACCCTGTGGAGGCCCAGGGGACCACATTAGCCATATACAGGCCTGGAGTGGGGAAACTCAGTTTGCTGGTAAAGTCCATAAATGATTCCTTGTCTGTTATACTGGGAAGTCTTATATCTAGTCAGGGAACTTCAAGGTAATGGAAGGCACTTTTCAGACTTTTTTAACCAGTGCTTTCATTTCACAGATGAGGGATGTGTGACTCTAAGAGGAAAGAGACTTGTCCAGTTGGCAGTATGCAAAGTTGAGTCTATTCCTGAGCTCTGCCACTAACAGGTAGCATGACCATGGATAAGCCACTTCACTTCTGGGCCTTGGTTCCCTTTTCTCTGAAATCAGGAATATAGGAGTCCCTAGTCAGCGTGCCCTGGACCGAGGGCAGCATGCAGCAAAACCTACTGTCAGTCTCATCATTACCACACAGGGCATGCCAGAAGCACCGGGACCCCCCACTAGGACTCTCAACTCATCCCAATGCTCCTGAATTATTAACCTTTTAGCTTCTCTAAACTCATAGGACCTTAGCTGCAGAATATTTTCATGCGGACACTATGAAATGATGTTTTAATTACCTGCTTGAATCTGAGCAGCAGACTCACTCCTTCTGGGGCTTATTTTCTTAAATTTCCTCCGAGCATCATATCCTCTCCAGGCTAAAAATAGAAAACCATGTGCTAGGAATGACATTAATTTAAGAACGTGCCAGAGGATTGATATAAGCTGTTTTCTCCTCCAATCTATTACCCTCTCCTCCTCCCTTCTATTTTCTCACTGAATAAAATAAGCAAGGCTTTGTGAGCTGTGATGGGGAAAGGGGGCCTGTCTGTACTCAAGTTGGCTTCAAAGAGGCTTCTGAGTTGTTTTTTTTTTCCAGGCAATGAGTTTCCAGGATGCTCTACATTCCATTGATGAATCTCATGGCACCCCTACCTGAGGTGAAGTGTTTGCCTGTCATTCCAATCCCAAGGAAAGCCTTGTCTTCAGGATTTGGTGATATAGTGCAGTTGAAAGGGGTTTGGAGGGGTGGTGGGAAGGAACTGGATGGAATAGCCTAACACTCTCATGACGGTTGAAGATAAGAAGGAGGGAGGTAAGGGGAAGTTTTGTTTTTCTTTTGTGACAGAGTCTCACTTTGTCATCCTCTGTAGAGTGCTGTGGCATCATAGCTCATAGCAACCTCAAACTCTTGAGCTCTTGCCTCAGCCTCCCTAGTAGCTAGGACAACAGGCACCCACCAATGCCTGGCTTTTGTTGTTGTTGTTTGTTTTATTTAGCAGGCCCAGGCAGGGTTCAAACCCACCAGGCCTGGAGCATGTGGCTAGCACCCTAACCACTGAGCTACGGGCACCCAGCTATGGTCAGGGGAAATATTAGTAATAAGTACATGACACGAGTGAAACTGCACTTGCAAATTGATGAAGGGGTACAAGGCAAGAACTAGGGTAAGGGCCCCAAAACTCTGTGAAGGAAATAGGCCTAGCTAAAATAATGATAATGATCAAACTCTGTGAAGGAGCAGGCTAAGCTAAAATCATAGTAATCAGCCACTGTCCCCTCATTTGCTTGATAATAGATAGACACTATCCCCTTGCTTGCATCTTTATAATCGTTACTTTAGAGGACACAGCTGGTAGTTATAAAGATTTTTAACTTTTCTCATAAATAACATCATCTGTTTGGAACTTAGGGATAGCTTTTCAGATCTCTTCCAGGTCCTGCATTCTAGTACACTGGCTAACCACTCAGACCAAGGAACTGAATCAGCTAGTCTTGACTATCCACTTACCCAAGGATCTGCATTCCAGTGAATGGCCTGACCACCCCACCCCCCCAACTCCCAGACAGTGCCCATACCAAAGGACTGACGGTTCTGCCCTGAAACCAGCCAATTAACAGACCCAGACTGCCTAAGCTCTTGCCCACCAAGCTATCTTTAAAACCCTGTCCCCCATCCTCAGGTAAGCAGATGTGACTGATTTCTCCTGTCTCCCCTCTGAGCACTTTGCTCAATAAACCCTTTCTCTGTTATAAAAAATGCAGTCTCTGGACAGTGGCTTCCTCCTGGGCAGTGGGCAGATGAACCTGGCTGGGCTGCCACACTAGCACTTGTTGTGAGTGAACTCCGTACCTGGAGGTATGCTGGGGGGCGGGAGGGGGGGTGGTGGTGTGGAAGGCAAGGGAGGCAGGTGAAGAGGAGAGAAGAGAGGAAGGGACTCTTTGGGCAGAGGGTTTAAGTCCTTCAAATTCAGTACTGGGACTATTAGGCCGCCCACCAGGAACATAAGTGTCTTTGCTCTTTGTTCCTCCTACTTCAGTCTGAATATCACAAGCCTCCAATTTGCTGGGCAAGCTCAAAAAGTCCAAAGTGGGCCAGGAGTGGGGGCTCATGCCTATAACCCTAGCATTCTGGGAGGCTGAGGGTGATGGATTGCCTGACCTCATAGGTTCCAGACCAGCCTCAGAAAGAGCGAGACTGTGTCTCTAAAAATAGCTGGGGGTGTGATGGGCACTGTAGTCCCAGCTATTTGGGAGGCTGAGGCAAGAGAATCACTTGAGGCGAGGAGTTTGAGGTTGCTGTGAGCTGTGATGCTACGGCACTCTACCAAGGGCGACAAAGTAAGACTCTGGCTCAAAAAAAGTCCAAAGTGGACTAGGGTGCCTTATGATTTGTGGTTACAGGAGCACAAAAGAGATTGTCTGCCCTGTTCAAGATCTGATGTTTTCACAGCTGCTTGTCCACAGCACAGGAACTCACACACAAATGGCACATTCATGTGCAAAGAGGCACGGCTGGGCGTCAGAGAGAGCCTCACTGTTTGTTCCTTTGGCTTACACGTGCCATCGGGGCTAGAAACGCCTTCTGGAAATGGCCTTAGGAACTCCAATGCTGAAAAGCTGGACATAGACACAAGGTGTATATCACCTCAGACATTCCGGGGGACGTGGCACTGTGTCTGTGCCAGTGAGGTTTTCCTATCTTTGGTCCGTTCAGACTGCCTCCGTCCTGGCACTCATCACAGTGTATTGTGATGGCTTGTTTTCTTATCTGTGAGGTCAGGAAGCATGGTGGTTGTCGGGGCTCAGACAATGTTCTTCAAACGGAGAGCAGCCGCACAGCAGCAAATGGCAGAAAAGTCCTCTGTCCAGCTAAAGGCTGGACCCTCCAAAACATACTCAATCATCGTGAATGACTTTTCCTTGGAGGAAAATGATACATACCGCAGAAAGGAAGACCAGGGCTGACACCACATCCAGAGCCCTCACACTCTCTCAGATTATTGTCTGTTTTTTTGGCCATTCATCTATCCTGAAAAACCTTTTACTCTTCCTCCAGTATTTCCTACATCCTCCACATCTCTCTCCCCTGTGAAGTGGACATTTACGCATCAACTTCCCAGCGTTCTTTGAGCTTCATACTTTGTGTGACTCCTAAGTGACTCCTAAGTGTTCGGCCATTAGTAAGTTTGTGTGCCTTTTCTGTCTATGGTCAATTTGTTTGATAGACTGAAATGATCAAACTTTCGGGGCAGGGAAAGAAGGTTCCTCTTGTCCCTACCTAATCTTGCTCAGGACTCTATTTCAGCACCTAGCACAGGGCCTGGTCTACAGCAGGCACTTAATACATACTTGCTGGAGACAGAAGTAAAGGAAGGAAGGAGGGAAGTTCGTAAGAAACCACTGAGGAAAGCGTCAAGTGGGTGAGTACTCCCAGCGTTTATCACAACGCCAAGACCCGGGGCAGCGTTGGAACCGACGTGTACCTGACTGGATGGCGACGGCCCCCTTCTCTCTCTTCTCTCGGGCTCTTTTGTATCTCCGAGCGGCAAGCCAGCCTTTGGTGTATGCCTGCAGCACGACCACTCTGCCGATGACTTCTTGAAGCAGCAAATTTAATTGCTCAACATGGTAATATTTGAGAAAAACCTGAAACGAGACATTAGTTTTAGCGTTCCAGATGGGCTGCTCAGCAGAAGTGCTCTCTACTCCGGCATATTCTTCAGGAAAAAATTAAAACCACTCCCTAAATAAACTTTCTAGTGATTTTTTTATTCTCCCATTACTGACTTCTTGGGGACAAATACAATTCCCCTCCTAAGGCTGAGCCAATCTTTGATTATCAATGTAAAAGGATGATGAAGTTAGTAGGATTTCAGGGGATCCCAGGGCTCTCTGGGCCAGTCTCATGTCACAGGAGTTTTATTCTCAGCTTGAGCGCTTCTCTCTTTCCCCGCAGCCACTGATGAAGGTGCCAACCAGCAGGTCAGACCGACAGTGGATGTGTGGAAGGAGAGGGACCTGGATAATCCCCAGATACCTAATTTCTTTTCTTTTCAGATTAATATGAGGGTACAGACGATTAGGTTACAATGTTTGCATTTGTTAGGTAAGGTCCCTGTTGCAGTTGTGCCCTCTCCCCAGAGGTGTGCCATGTACCCCTACATTGTGAGCACACCAATCCCTACATTGATTAGGTGTGAGCACACCAATCCCCTCCCTTCTCCTCGTACCTCCCCCCCAACCCCCCCCCCCACTTGAATAACATTTAGTTTTTCTCTTGTATGGGCATGTATTAGTTTGTCTACTGCTCTCAGGTTCGTATTAAATGTATTGGCTACTGGCCTTTCCATTCTTTTCAGTTTAATTTCTGTTGAGGAGCAGTAGTGTTGCTGTCAACACTCAGGATAAGCTGATTTTGTGAGGCAATCAGGATAGACTATAAAAACTTGGGATCCTAAAGGGATGTGATGTCCTCCCAACTGAAACTAGTAAGAGTACACAGTACATAACATAGCATGAGTCTAATGAGAAAAAGGGAGAAACTCTAAAAGAAACTCAGCACTGCCATTAGTATGATTTGTGTATTTACATGAGATACTAGGATAAGTAGTTTTGAAAAAAGGGACATTTTAAAATGGGCTCACAGACCTCATTCTAGAAATGCTAAATGGCTCTCAAATGACGTAAAGAGCAGGAAGGAAACCTTCCTCATCTCGTCCCTAAGATCCCTGGATGCCTGACTCAAGATCAGCAAAGACCATTGTTAGGGTAGGGTCTTGTCTGCTGAGCAAGATACAGAGCTATTCATGCTGCTGATACCACTGACTAGAGACAAAGGCTGGCAGGAGAACATCACAGGTGACAATTTGAACGGTAAATAAAGAGCTACCTTTGTTTTTCCCAGCACCCAGTGATCTAATCCAGACTTTTCCAAGATAGCAACACAGCTCTCTTTGCTAGCAAGAGGTGTTTGATGTGCTCTGAATGCCAAGTAGTAATACCTACAAAATAAAACAGTAAAAGGAAGCATTTTCAATCATTCGATTCAGTATCGCAGAATTGCTCCAGACCCATTGACAGGCCTTGTTTTTTAATAGTAAATATTTGTCAAGCACCAGTAATAGCATACTAGGTAGTAGAAGACACAATCGATCAACTCAGCTCTTATCTATTTTCATATTTTCTACAATGTGTATTCCCCCCCTTAATGCTGCTTTGTAATTCATATTCAATGTATACTTGCGTCTTGTGCATGCAAAACCTAATCCTTTTAGAAAGCTGAAATTTAGACAGCTTTCCAAATAAAAGCCATAATTTAAAGTGCTATTATTATTTAATATAAAAATAACTAAAATTCCATTGTACATATGTTGACTCTGCAAAGTCGCATTGGAAGCAATCTGAGGACAGAAGTGATTGTAGCTTATCACTCCTGAGTCTCTCTGCTGAGCTGTCTGTCTGACATGAGGTTTTGAAGAGGTGTGTTTTCCTGAGACAATTACCAAAACCGTATTTGTTTTTTAAAATTATTTCATGTTTGTGAACTTCTAAACTTTCAAATGAAAGGGTTTCTGGGTAGATTCAAAGAAGAGCACTGTAGGAGAGGAAAAATACCTTTTTCTCATTCATCCTAGATTCACAACTGAGGCCCCTATTACAAAAGACAGAAGTATACAAAGGTATTTGACGTAAGTTACAGGTGACACAGGGGCCTTCACAAGGAAATAAAGACCCAAAGTAACAATTAAACTTGTGTAGTTTTATGTCAACTCTGATGAAGAAGTGGATGGTAGTGGAGAAATAGGATTGGACAAAGAGTAAGAAATGGGAATAAATTGGGGGAATTTAGCAAATCCTGTCTTTTCAGATTCTTCTCTGTGTCTGGTCCTTAGGGATAAGGATGTTTCCCTTTTCTGGCTTAGGGAAGGTACCTTTCACATTAGGGTCTTATGTCTTGCTTCAGGGGAAGATCAGAAAATCCTTCCGAGCTTTTATGACCTACCTTAGGAGAAAAGAACCAGGGAAGGTGAGCGTGACCTTCCTGCCTCTGTTATTTTCTCAGATGCCAAGATGCCATATTTTGGGATAATGTATCCTGAACTCCACCACTACCAAAAATTTTTTTTCTCCCCTTTCCTTTCTTCTCTCTTATTCTCCCTGTTTCTTAAAATATAACTTGTGAGGCTCACCGCCTGTGGCTCAAGTGGCTAAGGCACTAGCCACATACACCTAAGGTGGTGGGTTCAAATCCAGCCTGGGCCCCACCAACAATGATGGCTGCAACCAAAAAATAGCCAGGTGTTATGGTAGGCTGTAGTCCCAGCTACTTGGGAGGCAGAGGCAGGAGACTGGCTTGAGCCTAGGAGTTGGAGGTTGCTGTGAGGTGTGATGCCATAGCACTCTACCCAAGGGGACAGCTTGAGGCTCTGACTCAAAAAAAAAAAAAAGAAAAAAAAATATATATGTAAAACTTGTGCAATATATTATCCTTTTAGGAAATCTCATTTTGTTTTTCATTAGCAAACTTCAAGGATCTTTGCTCTTTGCTGCCATCAGTAATTAAATTTACCCCCTTAGAAACTTACAAATAAACTTCATTTGCTTGTGAAAAGGTTTTTCTGCCACTCTTTAGACAAGACTAATCTGCTATTTTGAAATACACGTAAAGCTGTTTCTACTTTTATAAAAAGATCACCACAATATGAAATATATCCCTGCCTCCTGCCAAATATACCCATATCTTTGTTCATGGAAAAACAAACATAGCTGATCAATACTTGAGTCATTAACTTTATTTTCTTACTATAAGACTGTCTTAAAAGTTAGGGTATAATGCTGGATTTGCTGGAAACATTTGCATTCAGAAATCCTGGGACCTTTTCCAAGGCTCTGAGTCTGTTTCCACCATTGGCAGCACTCGCTGAACCTGAACAGTGGACCAGATGATGCTAGATCATTTGCCCAAACCTAGGAATCTGCTCACAGTAGATATCTTCCGGAGCTAAGTGGGAGGAGGGATGGCCAGGAGTTAAATTTAGGCCTTCCTGGGCAGTTCATAGCGTCAGGATAGATCCCTCAGCCCCAGGTTCTCCAAGACTATATAGCTTCAGTCATGGTTTCTCTGACTTGGCTTTAAAAGATTGTGTCCTGGAGTATATGGTGATGATGGGAAGAGCTGGAAAATCTTAACATATGATGTGATCGTCTGTGGGAAAGCTGAAGCACAGACAGCTTATGTAGAAAAATTAGTGGTGAAACAAGTAATTACTATACTTGTAGGCCCAGCCATTAATAACATGGCTGTCTTGATTTTAAGCAACCCAAGCTTGCTCATGGTGGAAGCTCAATGCTATTGGTGATGCAGTATTTTATTTTATTCTGCTTTATTTTTTTGAGACAGGGTCTCACTCTGTCACCCTTTAGTAGAGTGCCGTGGCTCACAACTCACAGCAACCTCAAACTCTTGGGCTTAAGTGATCCTCTTGCCTCAGCCTCCCAAGTAGCTGGGACTACAGATGCTTGCCACAACGTGGAGCTAGTTTTTGTATTTTTAGTAGAGACAGGGATCTTGCTCTTGCTCAGGCTGGTCTTAAACTCCTGAGCTCAGGCAATCCACCTGTCATGGCCTCCCAGAGTGCTGGGATTATAGGCATGACCCATCATGCCCGGCCTTGATACAGTATTTTAAAAGAACTTAATGAGGCTCGGCACTTATAGCTCAGTGGCTAGGGCACCAGCCACATACACCGGAGCTGGCAGGTTCAAACCCAACCTGGGCCTGCCAAACAACAATGACAACTACAACCAGAAAAAAAATAGCTGGGCGTTGTGGTGGGTGCCTGTAGTCCCAGCTGCTTGGGAGGCTGAGGCAAGAGAATCACT